TTTAGCATGATACGGCTGTAATCCTTGAGAAATAATGATTATTGAACCAGCTCTGTGAGAGTCAATGGTCATCCTCAATGGGTGCCTAGCACTTGTTTATTAAACAAGTGCTAGGCAATTTTTGTTGCTTTTCCTGCAGACTAAACATTATGTGTTTTCAATGGTGACATCGATATAGTAAATACCGTTAATATAGAGTGGAATTTACAATATTGATGTTTGTTTATGAGGCTCCGAAAAAGAAACAGACTGCTATTTAAATTAAGAGATTTAAATGATAACAGTGATTTTTGGTCATTTGACATACATTTTCAATAAAGATGACAAAGGGAGATAATTAAAAAGGTGACGAAGGGAGATAATTTGGATGACTCGAATAAAGCAGAACAAAGCAGACAACCAACATAAAAATGCAAGTGAGAAGAATAGGAACAGTGTAAAGTTGAAATACATAGAAATACATAGAAATACATAGAAATACATAGAAATAGATTAAACAAACACAAACAAATACAAAATTTGTACAAAATAAGAAAAATGAACGAAACAAAATAGTTTCCAAATCAAATGTTTTTTTATTTGTTGCATAATGAAATATGTTATTTCTTAATATAACCAATGTTCTTTAACATAATTAATGTGATAACAATCACATTACTGCTTCAGATAAACGCAGGACATATTTGCTAGCCAGATAGATACGAATAAAATGTGAGCTAGATACGAAAATATCTATATCCATATCTCTCTCTCTCTCTCTCTATATATATATATATATATATATATATATATATATATATATATATATATATATATATATATAAATTACAGGGACAGAGAGAGAGAAAAGAGACATTACTGAATCAGCTATGAAAAACTTATGTACGAGTAGTATTTGAAAATGTGAAAGATAGAAATAGAACTTACTACATATGTACATACCCACGCGCCTTCATATATATATATATATATATATATATATATATATATATATATATATAAAAAAGTTTGTTACTTAGCTGACTGATGTTACCTTCAGCATCCCGTTTCTCCCGAGTTTCGTTGACGGACCAATCCATCCACTCTTCAGTGGGTATCAGTATTAATTAAAACCAATTATGAATCAAGTATGGATTAAAATGGACAGAACGATAAGATAAGGGATAGATAGGAAACGTTTATAAATTTAACACGTTCTATACTGGATAATCGTAAAACAGGGGCGTCTATTTCAAATACGAATATCCATTACGATAACATTCGAAGTAATAAATATATCTGCATGTGTGTGATTGTGTAGTTATGTGCATCAATACGTTTGCTACCTAATGCAACCTAATGATGGAAACATATTTTCTCTCATTTTTTATGCTCTTAATTAATTGGTGAATATTAATCATGTCTATTGAATGTTGCACAGTGAAAATTCTCGATCAAAACTCATTTAATCAGATATTTAATAACTATATGTTAGGCTTCTTGACCCTCCTGGAATATAGATAGATAGATATGAACAGGGTGAGATAGATAGATAGATAGATAGATAGATAGATAGATAGATAGATAGATAGATAGATAGATATTGGTTCCCGTGATTTCAATCAATTCCCGTTGTTGGATTCTGTTGTTGACCAGAAAATCCAAGGCCACGCTTTTAGCTGTCTTCGGAGTCAGGCAGCTATAAATAACAACTCGAAGGAAAATTCAGGAATACGTAAATAGTAAAGAAAAAGATAGGTAGGCGGTCGATGCCAACGAGGTTGTAGCCTTGTAAATAAGATGCGGCTTTCTGTATAAAGATTTAATTGCTAGCGAATGACACTGAATACCGTCATTTGTAATTGCATACGTCGGTTGGTCGGCTGAGGATGCTGAGCCGAGTAAAAAGCAGATATTGTTATCGGCTGTTCAAAAAGGGCGTCTAATTGGTCGTAGTCGAACCGACATGGCAGTCACAGAGTCTCCAGTTGGATTTAAGCTAATCTTAGAAAAGAAAATGAAATTTTTATTTGAAAATAATGAAATCTCAAAATTAGAAAAAAATAAAAAGAGATGCAGAAGGACAATGATAATCCTGTTAGGAAATATTTGAAAAGAGGGAAAGAAAGAAACAAACAAATAAAGAAGCGCGAGGAAGGTAATGATTGAAAAAGAAAGTTTTGACAAGAATAAGAGAACATGCAGAATGATAAAGAATGGTAGAAAGATAGAATAATAAAAAGATAGAGAAAAAGAATAGGAGAAATAAGCTAAATAAAAAGAATAGAAAGAAAGAAAACAATGAAAACAGAAAGAAAAATCAACTAAGTAAAGCGATAAAAAAAAGAAAAAATGAAAAAGAAGCATAAAGAGAAATTAAAAAAAACCGATTGCTGCTGTTGAATGTCCTCGAGTGATATAGTTCCTTTTATTTGGTACAAATCTTTGTTCGCGACTTAGTAGCGTCCACAACATTGGAAGAAAAGTGCTCCTCGTTTGCTTTCATTCGCTTGAAGCCATTCTTAACCATTGATCTAAGAAAACAGTTGTATACAACTGACGGCTTAGATATTACTGAACGAGTTTGCCGTGCATAGCATCCACATGATTTCTCGATCTGTGGAGGCTATTTAAAAACATAACTCGAGCAATTTGTTGAACAAAACGAAACCTAGCGCAGCCTCTTCTATGTTCAATTTCCTTATCTCCCATACAAAATGTGTTATAACTACTCCATACACATTTGAGGTATTTGAAGTGTTTAGTATTTTTACTCATTCCATTTCCTGAAATTTTATGATGGACTGATCCAATTCGAAATCCTAGTTTATGTTCTGGAAGCGTTTGTCTTGAGTTCTATTTCTCGGAACACTTGGAAGAGGATGTTGGTTTTATATTCAAGACTAGCAGCTTGGCCCGGTGTTGCCCGTGCTTGATTCAAAAATCGTACGACTCATACAGCAATCGCTATCACTGCGAATTTTTCTAAGCTCTATACTAAACATTAAATCTGCTATGAAAAAGAACTAAATAAAATGAACACAAAACGATCAGCTTTAAAAAAAGGACTCGTAACTGGAAAAACTAAATGAAAAAAGAATGTTAACAACAAATACTTTTTCACACCCAACTCAGTTCTGCGGAATCAGAATCAACGTTGAGTTTAAGCAAGCGAATGAGCCAATTGGAGTAAAGTGCCATGCAGATTTAAATTTTTCCCACTTTTGACGAATGCAGCTATCGATTATTTTTCCATGCTAGCATGCTAGTTAACATTCGTGTCAGTCAGTTGTTGGCTCTCAAGATGGCCAATAGAATCTTCCTGCCTATTCGTGGCAGCCAGCTATAGGCTCCCACTCTGGCCAGTAGAAAATGGCCGAAAACTACATGAAAACTGCCGTAGAAGCATGAAAAATCGATTTTTTCCAGTTGATGGAAAATGCAAAGTCGGTCTAGGTCTTCCCGCTAACTTGGAGCATGTGCATGTAAATCTTGGTGCAAATCCGTCGAAAATTGTGGCCGTGCATTCGTTACACACACACATACATCCAGCCTTTTATAGATAGAGATCAGTCTTATCACAAATATGAATATCTGACATCACAACAGCGCCCCCTATCATCAATATTTTGGCCTTGGAAGGGAAAGCAGGAACGCTGTTTTCTATTAGCAGATTCGGTTGGGATGTGGTATGGAATACTAAAACGATCAATACACATCTCTTCACATCTGTCTTTGTATATGTGCAGAGTATAAAGAAAAGATTAAATAGATTGGGGTTAAATGCGTACTCCTGACGAGTTTTGGAATATTTAGGAATTGAGATTATCCCCAGACATGTACGACTTTGTGTCCAGTCAGTGGATTTAGAGTTTGAAAGTCGGTTTCTAATGGAGGAAAAGAGGAAGCTTTTATTGATGCTACCGTGAAGTCAACTTAGTTGGTATACATTTATTGTTAGATAGGGGTATGCAATGTCTTGGTCTTCTTTGAAGACATTTATGCCATCATTATAGACCTTACCAGAACGAAAGCCAAGTTGGGTTATGAGGAATTCTTTCGTAGAATACCGAGTGCAGAGTATTTTCACCATAACGGATCTGATTGTGATACATCTATATGTGTGAGTGTTTTTAGCACTACTATTTGGTTCCCATATTACATTAAAGCGTGATATATACAACTTTTGGGAGATGCGCTTCTCATCCTGTACTTATTTCATGAATTTGACTATTTTTAAATGCGAGGAGAGTTTATGATAAGTTTTTTTTAATTCTTGGGGAGTATATGCTGGAAAGAAAGAAAGAAAGAAAGAAAGAAAGAAAGAAAGAAAGAAAAGGACAAAAGATAAAGACCAAAGACTTAGATCATTCAATCATCACAAAGACAAAATAGAAAAAAAGAAGAAAGAGAAAAGAAGTCGAAATATAAAGGAGAAAACTAATTAGAATTAAAAGTAAAAGCAAATGCCACAAAATAAAATAAGAAAAATGACGAACAAAATCAAATAGGAATTGGAAGAATAATCAGATACAATTTAGAATTTGAAGGAATGGATAATAAAACCAAGAGAATAAATAAAATATGAAGATACGACTTTAAATGAAGCAGACTCTTCGTAGGTATTAGAAACAAAGAAGAAAATGTGGAAACATAATTTAATCTCTGATACAATATTAGAGAAATCTTGTTCAAGAGTAGAGTTGAATATAAAAAAATAAGAAAGGATTCAGGAGGAGATTATTGAAAGGACAAACATTTAAGTGTAGAAAATAACGAATGTGAATGTGAATGTTTAATGGTAAAGGATTGAGAATACGAATCTAGAAAGAAAACCAGACTAGCAAAATGAAATTAAAAATGTGAGAAAATTTCTTTAGTCAGCAATGATTAACAAGCAGACCATCTCAAATGTCATGTCATCTGCACTTACAACTTTACCCTTATTTACGTTATTTACACTCAGACTATTGTCCGAATCTTTGCTATTATTATCACAATTTTTGCATTTCATCAGGTCC